AATATTCAAAACTAAAATGATTAGATTATGAGGGCTGTAAGATTGCCAGTGGATTAATCCTCTTAATGGATTAATAATTTGAATTGATATTAATTAACTTGAATCAAGTTAATAATTTGAATGGACCACTGGGTGGTAACTGTAGGCAGGTGGAGCATGGGTGAACACTATAATCTTGTCCCTGGCACTGAGCAGCTTTCCTTCGCCACACCCTGTGCCATAATGTTCTCAGGCCCCAAGCAATGGAGTCGGCTGACCATGGACTGAACCTCTGAAACTGTGAACCCCAAATAAACTTTTCCTACTCTAAGATGTTCTTATCGGCTATTTTGGTCACAGCAACAAAAAGCTGACTAATACACCCAGCTTACTAGCAGTTCTTAATACTTACAATGAGCTCAGAAAAAACCTTAAAACTTGAATAACCACGTTATTTCCTATTGCCTTCTCACAATTTGGGGTCCTAAACATGTCCAGCATCCATTCACAATCCAATAATAAGCATGATTCACTAACTAATAGGGCAGCACAAAATAGGATTTGTTCCCGGTCCCAGCTTTACTCACTGCAAATATTATCCAATGATTTAAACATTTCAGCTTTCTTTCCTGATCGATTCAGATCATTTTTGAGAATTTCAGCACATACAGCCCCAAAGTAAACATAGCATTCTTTTAGCAGAACCAGAGCTGTAGACAGTGAAGGAACCTCATGGCCTCCAGATGTTGTACGTGGTTGGGTGAAAGCTCAGTGATGGCAAGGCACATGGTGAAGTGGGAAAAGACATGTTTAAAGATGAACCTCAGAGCTGGGTGTGGGAGCCGGGTAGCTCCACAGTAGAGCACATGCCCAGTATGCATCAAGTGCTGGGTTTGATCCCCACACCACAAAAAAAAAAAWAAATAAATAAACAAATGATGAGTCTAAGAATGCTACTTATCTACAAGACAAATTTTTAAAAAATTAAAATTCACTGTTGCCAGTATACTGAGGATTCCAAACCAAGTAAATTATAGACCACTGATGACTTCCTATCTACAGTATTTTGTGATTTTTTTTCCCCTCAGATGGTAAAAAACAAAATTTTCTTGGAAATTTTATTAGTTGTTTATTTTTTTTTAACATGGTATGTAGGATAATTTTAAGGCTATCTGGTTCTGCATCCTTAAGTTTGAGCCTTCTTGATCCATGCCTTTTATCACATTATGTAGCATTTTTCCAAAGTCAATCTGTTAGATTATTGTTTACAGAGGTGGGTATTATATGAATTTATTACCTAATCAACTCAGAGCACTTAATGTGTAACACACAGTAAGAAATGAAAAAGAAAAGCTGTTTTATTATTTTTTTAATATTTATATTTTTAGTTGTAGTTGGACACAATACCTTTATTTATTCATTTTTATGTGGTGCTGAGGATTGAACCCAGGGCCTTGCACTTGTGAGGCGAGTGCCCTACTGCTGAGCCATAACTCCAGCCTCAGAAAAGCTGTTTTAAATAGTAACGAACAAAACTAGAGATGGGGCAGAGGAAGTCTGCTTATACCTTCAGGAATCAACAAAGTTTTAAATGTAAGTTAAAATGCAGGAAGAAAAGCTCCAATGTAAAATGCCAATTAAAATGCTCAAGAATATTATGAATATAAGCAACTATATAAATTTTCAAAAGATATATTTTATAACTGACAGAAAAAAATAGCTAAAATACCAGATGGGATATATGCAATTCTGCACACCAGTAATGCTCGTGGTGGAAAAAAAATCTCATCTAACTCCCTCCATCTACATTAAGATGACCAAAATGATGTTGCACACATAAAGTGTGTATGTATAAAAGGTCAAAACATGAGCCGGGTGCAGTGGCACATGCCTGTAATCCCAGTGGCTTGGGAGGCTGAGGCAGGAAAATCACGAGTTCAAAGCCAGTCTCAGTAAAAGCGAGGTAGTAAGCAACTCAGTGAGACCCTGTCTCTAAATAAAATACAAAATAGGGCTGGGGATGTGGCTCAGTGGTTGAGTGCCTCTGGGTCAATTCCTGGTAGCCCTTCCCCACCCCCAAAAAAGGTCAAAACACAGAAGTGGCAAGAAATGCAATTTCTAAAATCATCTCAAAGCCAGAGTGCTTGTATTTCAGAATGTGACTAAAAATCCTACAACTTATCAAGTAACTGGAAAAGTTTCTTTGAACCACTGCTCCATTTTGTCATTAAAATACCCAGCTAATTTCAAAAATACACACAATTACAATTACACTTGACAGGATCCTGACTTAAAAAAAAAAAATACACCACGACCATAAATAACTTTTGGAGAACAACTGAAAAAATTTGAACATGGATTTAATATTCAAATTCACGGTTCTAGGGAATTATTAATAATTCAACTGATGCAATAAATAGCAAAATGAATGAAAGAACGTCTTTATTTTTAGGTGGTGGAAATGCAAGCCAAAGTCTCCATAGGTGGAGCATTTTAGTATCTACAATTTGATTCCAGTCTGAGTGAAAACAAAGCTTTTTATTTTGGTTTATTTTAAGTGGGGGTTTCCTGGGGATTTATCCCAGGGGCACTTCACCACTGAACTATATCTCTAGCCTTTTTCTTTTTTTTTTAATGTCTTATTTTGAGTCAAAGTCTCGCTAAGTTGCTGAGGCTGGCTTCAAACATGCCTCGTCTCCAGAGTTGCTGTAACAAAAATACCCGACAAGACAATTTACAAAAGGAAAAGTTTATTTTGGCTCATGTATTCAGAAGGTTAGTCCATGGAATGCCAACTCCATTGCTCTGGGTTCAAGGTGAGGGAGATCCTCATGGCAGAAGGGTGTGGTGGAGGAGCACTGCTGTTCTCCCTGGCCAAAAAGCAGAGGAGCCACAGGGAAGATGAGCCCCATTGTCTCACCTCCTCCAGCCACACCCCACCTGCCTGCAGTCACTACCCAGCTTAGCCCATTCAAACTAGGATCAAGTGACTAAGTTACAGCTCTCATAATACAATTATTTCACCTCTTAAATATTTCTGCACTGGCTTGGGAACTTTGCGGGGGTGCTTCATACCTAAACCCTAAGATACACACACACACACACACACACACACACACACACACACACACACACATACACACACACACTTTATTGCAAGATACCAACAATTATTGAGCCAAAATTGAAGACTTGAATTGGGTGTCAACATACTTTATATACAGAGATATGAAAAATTGTGGTATATATGTGTATTAAGAATTGTAATGCAAAAAAACCCCAAAGTACATGTATAGAGGCATAAATAGGCGTGAATATATTTTATATACAGAGATATGACAAATTGTGCTCTATATGTGTAATAAGAATTGTAAGCATTCCACTGCTGTCGTGTATTTAAAAAAAATGAGATCAATAAAAGATTAAAAAAAGAGAGAGAGAGAGAGAAGCAAGCCTCCACGAGTATCTCCACTTGTAAAAACACAGTGCTTACCAGCCTCAATGCGCATGGGTGCAGCTCTCTGAAGCACCACTGATTACAGACTGCACTCTCCCAGTCTGCAGGTCAGCCGTGGTATCCCGGAGAGCTGAGGGGCAACACTTCAGACCCTACCACTTCAATCCTAAGAACATATGGGAGGGATTCTACTGCCCATAACAAATAGAAACTTTTTTCCTTCAAGGACCAAAAAAGATTAAAAAAAAAAAAAAAAAGAAAGAAAGAAAGAAAAAAGAAAACAAGTGATTTCTAATAAGAGGGGCGGGAAAGCCAACTTTCAAACACAAGTTGAAAACAGTTTGAACCTAAAACTATTAGAGTAAAAAGAAGAACATAGGCTGGGGTAGTGGCTCAGTGGTAGAGCGCTTGCCTAGCATGTGTGAGGCACTGGGTTCGATCCCCAGCTCCACATTTGGAAAAAAAAAACTAAATAAACAAAATAAAGGTATTATGACCATCTATAACCAAAAAAAAAAAAAAAAAATTAAAGGGAGAATGTTCTGCAGCACACCAAACACCAACAAAAGATGAAAAAGGAACAAAATGAAAGCTGTAGCAGACAGAGTATGCTTGAAACTTCAGGAATCAACAGTTAAGTATAAATGAAAGTATAGGAAGAAAAACTCCAATTTGAAGTCAACACCAATGAAAACTGTTTATAGAGAGAGGGCCATTCTGAAGAACTAAGAACTTCGCAAGAAAGTCCGCCAGTAGAAAACATTCATTTCCACGCTCCTTGCCTAGACCAGATAGTTAGTTTCAGAGCTAGAAACAGACATAAGGCCCACCGACCTGTCTTCCTAACTCCAAGGCACTTACACCCAACAAGTGACAACTACAATCGCAGGATCACCAGCGAGAGCAAGATGAAGTGCCCCGGTGGCTCTACCAATCCCACTCTTCACTATGAGCTCACATCAACACATGAACTGCCTCACTTCAGAAAACCAGAGTGAAGTACCTCTTGTCTGATGCTCACTACTATCACAAACAGGGAGAAAACTGAAAGAAAGGTAAGAAAATATATCGTTAATTTAAAAAAAAGTACAAATGAACCAGTTCTCTAATGAATTTGGGTCTCCCTTATCATCCAATAAGCATTAAATTATACTGTTTTATAACTGCAGAAAATTGGTAAGAAAGCTATGAAATTTCTCAGACTATACTAAAAGACATTGATATGAGTAGCAGATATAACACTTGTTGAAAGTGCATATTGCAAGTAAAAAAATTAATATTCAGAAACTTTAGCTCAAAGATTTCCTTCTGAGTAGACACAAAGCATTCCTCCAGGAGAATTCAGGGAATTGACAATTTACTAACATACAGGCGTTGGAAACAGGGAAGAAAGGAGGATTGTTCTTTTTGTTCTTTAAGGCTGCTCAGTTCCTGAGATGGGGAAACATGACACTGCTAACTGCCATTTCCTTCTACAATAAAGGGCGTGACTTATAATATTAGCGTAAAAGCAAAAGTTAAGAGTTGACTGCTATAGATGGTGGAGATCAAATGAAGTCTGTACCTTCAGTGAGGCTAGTGGATGTTCTGGACCAAGTAAACTCCAATGAAAGGAAGCCAGATCTTCATCGGGTAGTATGTGATTTCCTAGAATACAAACATGAATCACGTAAAATAGTAACAAATGACACAGAAATGCCTAAATAACTCACTACATGCTTGCTTGTCAATATATCACTAAAATTTCCAAACAGAAAAGGAGAATATTTCTTTACTTTTTAACATAAAGCAACATACAACCAACTCAAGTACAATGTGAACTTCCAGTAGAGTTTCAACAACATTCACACTAAGGACTGCATAGAACTACAAACCTAAGCAACTTTCCAGCCCAGTGTTAAACAAATACCAATTTGCAAAAAGTCAGTCTGATAATACCCTGATGCCAAATACCAGCCAAATCCAAGTGTTCATCTCTTCGAGAAACAGCTGTGGCTCAAAATTTTGTGCACTCAGGAACAACAGTCAAATGTGGAATCGGCACAATTATAAAATCTTCCTTAGCAAAATTAAATGACAAATGTCAATGACTATTGGTCACCACCCCTGATTACATGTGAGAAGGCACATCCCAAAACAATTCTCACCCATGTCACCTATCACTAGAGTGCTGTCAGTCACCAAATAAGAATAGCTTTCAACTGAGACAAACTGCATTTTTGAGGGAATACTGTTTTTCCAGTAGTGCTTGAWTGCCTGATACACTAACATCTGTAGGTTAGTTACCTCTATGCAACTTAAAAACAGCAATTTCCTAAATAACTCTTCATTTTTCTAACATGACTTAATCACCTCCACATTAAGACAGCAGATTCATTAATTAGCTGCTAACAGAAAGCAAAAACAAGCTGAGATCATATGCAACACTGCTACATCTTAATATTCCAAATGCATCACCACATAAAACAGGCAATGAAGTAGCAGGATGTCCCGTTGATCTGATCAGGCTGACTGTGCTTTGTGTTGCTTCCTGCTGTTACTGGACTACACTATTTTACTTTGACACATGAAATGTCAGAGGTCTTTTGTGAAGATTTAAATTGAAAAAAATATTAAGCCAATTCTAACATCCACAGCAGACTCTGTGAAAACTTGAGTTAAATATATGAATGACTACTACACTCAACTTTCCTAAAACCAAAGTATAAACTTTCTATTATGGGAGGAAAAAAGAAAAATGAGCCTTCTCTTTTCTAAAATAGAAAACCTCGGGCTGGGGTTGTGGCTCAGTGGTAGAGCACTTGCCTAGCATGAGTGAGGCATTGGGTTCGATTCTCAGCATTGGATAAATTTAAAAAAAAAAAAAAGGTCCATTGACAACTAAAAAATTTTTTTAAAAATAAAATAAAATAGAAAACCTCACTCTTAAAATTTAGAGTTTAACCTGTAACTTGCCTAAACTTTCTGAAGAGACTCCAAGACTCAAATTAATTAGGTGAAATATTATTATTGATTTTCATTTATTTTGAAAGTTCACAACGTAGTTAGCTAGAAAAGTATAAGCTGGCATTACCTCCCAAAAAAACATATTCAACATTTCTTAAATAAGATAATAAAAGTATCCTTCACATTTCAAATTAGTTCAGGTATACATGTTCTATGAACATGCAATTTTCATAACCTTTGAAAGTTCACTAACATACAGAAGTCATTCTTCATAACCTAAGCAAATACAGAACTTTTCATAAAATGTGCTACCCATATACTCACTTTTAACATCAAAGGAAGTATCCTTTTGTATTTTAATATTTGCAAACACACTTAGATTAGTTTTAAACCTTCAAATCCCAAAAGTCACAAGTTCTCTAAAAATTTACATTTGAAATTAGATCCACATAAACAAACTTGCGAAATCAGAATTTTGTTGATTGGCCATTATATAATAAAACTTAAAACTGTTTTGGAAATCTTTCTGACAACTAGAAATTTCTATGAATTCTGCAATGTAATTTCCCTCTCAAAAAGCAGCCCACATTAGTCTGCTAACCTCTATAGAATACAAACTAAAAGATCATGAAGTTTCCAAAAGGTCTCTCCCATGTGCCCAAAAAAGCCCCAAGTCCCATCAGAATTAGGAAGTCTAATCACAAGAGTGCCTCACTCCTAAATATACTTTATATGTGGAAACAATTATTACACATTCTGCAAATTAGAGCTTGAGACATACACACAGCAAGCACAGAAAAATAATTGACAGAAGAGATAAGAAAAACAATAACCACACAAAGTCAAAGAATAAATATTACTCTTGGAAACTTATTAAGGGAAAGAAATTAATATATAAAATCTTAGTTAAAACAAGATTTCGGGCTTGGGTTGTAGCTCAGTGGTAGAGTATTCGCTTAGCATGCACAAGACACTGGGTTCAATCCTCAGCACCACATAAATGTAAAATAAAGATATTGTGTCCACCTAAAACTAAAAAATAAATATTAAAAAAAAAACAGATTTCAACATTTATTGATTATAACATAAGTAGTTCTCCCAAAGGAATTTTAATTTATAAATTTACTTAATTTTTATTCTTCCTTTTAAGGCAATTGTTTTTCTTTTAAGTAGTGAGTATCCTAAAGATGGTGGAGAACATAACAGTGCTAACTGCATGGCATATTTTCCTCTATTATTAACATAATTTATGCCAAAGGCTTAAATGCCCTAATATTCATAGTAGGCATACCTGTAATTAAAAAATGTTATTTTCCCAAAACTTTTAAATTTATTCACAAAGTAAGTTTTCATCCCAGATAGAACACTACATTAAATGAATTCTTTTTTTCTTTTTCTTTTTTTTTTTTTTTTTTTTTTTTGTGGTGCTAGGGATTGAAACCAGTGCCTTATGCATGCAAGGCTATATCCTCAGCCCACGTAAATGATTTCTTAAGAACAAAAATACCCCTTTGTCAGTCATGCCAAAAAATCTGAAGTAAAGAATGCTAAGGAAGAGCCTATTCATTGGTTCTTTTAAATTTAAGATATACAACCAAATGATTCAAGCGCTGAAATATTTCAAAGATCAGAATGCTCACAGTATATTTTTTCACAATGTTCCACCTACCTAACAGAGCAGCAAAAATAGGAAAACGATTTGGGTTCAGGTCCAGTTGCTTGGCAACTTCATGCATCAGATATTGGCTTGTCGTGAGACTTTTCCCGTTGCGGCTCAGCTTGAGGGCATGGGCACTGAAGTAGTAGGGGATGTTGCACAGTGCATAATCGGAGTCGTAGGCCACCAAGCCATGGAAACCGTTCTCTCTGCAGAAACCAATCACTTCTTGATGGTGATCCTCAATGCTCTGTGCAACCTGCACAGGGAAGAAAACTTCATCAGATGTGGTAAAACTTGCAGCACAATGTTCAACAGCAGACATGTCTGTACAGAAGCTGGAAAATTACAGACTATCCAAAAAAGCCAAATAGTCAAAAAGTCCACTGCTCCGACAGAAAGTCTCTGTGGGAAATCAGATTCAAGTCACCTCCTGTCAGTAACTTATGATCCCAATCTAGACTGCAAGTTAAGTTTCCATTTTGTGAAGTTCAAAGATCACCCTGCTTGAAAATATACAGAGCAGGATGACCCATGATACTATTCTGAAAGAAGGAAGAGAGGGAAACAGAACGAGGGAGGGAAAAGGGAAGGAAAATAGAGTATAGAAGACAAAGAAGCCATCTGTCTTCCATGCGAACAAAACAATTTCTTCAAAATAAACCAAATGTGTCAAATAGGTACAAGAATCAGAAGGGTTTTTAAAAGAAGCAAAGGCTGAATATTATCCCTCTCCTAGCTCTAAATCACTGTCACTTTACTGATGAAAAATGTAAGCCAAATGTTCTTTATTTCCATTGAATCCCTACCGTGGAGCATACATACCAGCTCAGATTTCTAGGACACCATGGAGGAAAGAGAGAAGCAACGCCTCTGAAAAGCAGAAAGTCCTCTGCAATTGCCACAGTCCCAGAAATAACTGGGAAAAAAAAAAAAAATGTTCTTCTAAAATATTTCAAGTCCAAAGCCACTGATTTCTTTTCTGCTATTTATTATGCTCATTTTTCCAACAAAAATCCTGGAAGGTTTACCTATTGTTTCGAGAATAAATAAGGTATTGTTTTAAAAATATTTTTTAGTTGTAAATGGACATTTATTTATTCATTTATCTATTTATTTGTATGTGGTGCTGAGGAATGAACCCAGGGCTTCACACATGTCAGGCAAGTGCTCTACCACTGAGCCACAACCCCAGCCCCTAGATAAAGTATTTTAAAGAACAAACTTTTATACTAAATCAGGTGATTCAGTTAACAATGGAAAATTAACTCTCTACAGAGCCTTTGTGGAGGAACACATGTGCCCTTAACCTAAAATGACTATACTGAAGAAAAAATTAAACTCAAAATCAACTTACAGCATTAGACAGTGACATGACCAGTACCTAACAGAATACCTGGATATCAAAGAATAGAACATTTCCATCAGTTCTGAAAATTCCACTGGACAGCACTTAATCTCAGTTCTCAGTGACTTTCATAATACAAGTGGTTACTAAATCTTATTGAAACGTTAGCTGTAATGAAATCTGAGAGGCAAAGAAAGCCTATTGGAAGATACTTATTTAAAGCAAACATAACTTCCTGAGTTTTCTTCCTTAGAATAAGAGGATGCTGTTTTATCCCTAAATCTAAAAACACTAAACACAAGCTATGACCGAAAAGTACAGCTTAAAAAAATTCTAAAATCAGGCCAGCTTTATTCTCTCACTTCCAGATATGGTAATCTCCAAGTTCAAGTTCTTTACCTTAAATAATGTTACTACACAGAACTTTGTATTTAGAGTGGTGCTGTGTTTTAAAATCACTAAAAATCACTGGCTGTTTCCCAGATATTTTTAATAGTAAGTCTGTATACTCTATAAACAGGCCCGAAAATGAGAGGAGACAGTGAGTCACCACTCCCACCTCTCCTCCCAGGACTTCTAGAAAAGGCAGGTGACCACTGGTTCTTTAGATCCATGCACCTTGTAGGTGGTGGTACAGAACAAAAACACAGGAGTATGCATATTCCAGATTTATATCTGTGAGGTAGTTTATTAGCACCCTTCCTCCAAGAAACTGACTGAGAGCAGATCCACCTCCATGCTGAGGGAGTCCAGCTGCCCATGGCTCATCTCCCAGTTGCTTACTCTTCGCAGTCCTTGGGCTACAAATTCATGGGATGGAGAAGAACTCCCACAGGTGCTGTACCAGAATGGGATGAAGCCTTCTAACGCAGGGTGGTTTTCAATAAAGACCTGAAGAAAGAGGAGGCCCTGAGAGGGTTTCCAGRAGTCCGTCCACACAGACCTGGGGCAAGTGCAATGGCCCCAAAGTGGGCGTGCACATGCCCAGCAGAGACAAACAATGAACTCCACCTGGGGTCAAAGATGAAGTCTAAGAGTTGGCCGAGGTCTAACCCTTCACTTTCAAATAATGCTGTGAGCGCTGTAAAACGGTGGCAATTATATCTCAAGAGCTGTAAAACATTCATACTCTTTGACCCAGTAACCTCACTCCAGGAAATAGAGCCTGAAAAACCAAACCATCAAATAAAATATCAGAAGCATAAAAATGATCACATTAACTTCTACAGGAAAGAAGCAAATTAACACTATGGAGACAGGCACATACAGCAACCACAGTGGATGTGGAGAAACGTGGGGAAAATGCCACAATAAAATATCAAATCATTCCAGAATACAATATGGTGACTGTACTGAATGAAGAATTAAATTCAACTTTAAATCAACTTCCGGCTGTACCACAACGGGATGATGTATTCACAACTACCTAAAACTGTATTTATGGAACCAGGGTAGAAAGGAAAAAGCAAAACCCAACACAGTTGTATCAGGGAACATAATTATGCTTAAAAAGCTGGTGGTGTCCTATTAGAAAGCACACCACACTCTACAGCACTTTCGGCAGTCTGACCTGGCTCTCCCCAGGGGACAAGGACCAGAGTGCATCTTTATGGACAGCAGACACCCAGTAAAAACTGAAAGAAGTAAAAATGGTCACATTTTTGTGGGTCTCTGAAGATTTCTTAAATTATCTGAAGATTAATAAGATACAATCTTCTATTAGAGACGGAAATCCAGTAGAACCTTATTAAAAGAAAATGGTACATGGAGCTCTTCACAGTCACCTCCTCTCCCCAGCCTACAGAATGCTCATTCAGAACATTCAATTTCAGATTGACATTCAAAAGCAACGTGCATAAACCATTAATAATTCACTACAACTCTAATTTGCAAATGATTAACAATATCTTAACCCTCCCCAAAGTACACAGAACATGAAACAAATAGCTGACTATGAGACCTAATGTCCTGAAACAAAAGATAAAGGAGCCACTCCCAAGAAGGGAGGCATCCAACCTACAGCAAAGGCAGGAGCAGGTCCATTCTCCTGAGTCTCCAAGAAGCGTGGAAATGTCTGGGCTCCAGCTCAGACTCCATACCCAACCTGCCAGATAACCTGCACAATTCCCAAGGTAAAACCTGATGGCTTTTCCAGGATCTTTCAACTTCTAGAATTCTCATACACCTCTCCACCTGTTAAAATTCATTATGCCTTATCTGAGAAAATGGAAACTCAACAGGACATTAAAAAAAACACAAGAAGGGGCTGAGGCTGTAGCTCGGTGGCAGAGCACTTGCCTAGTATGTGTGAGGCACTGGGTTTGATCCTTAGCATCACATATAAATAAACAAATAAAGGTGTTCTGTCCACCTACAACTACAAAAATTGAAAAAAAAAAAAAAAACCCACAAGGGTAAGGCTGGGGTGTAGCTCATGGTAAAGCACATTCAGCAAGTGCCAGGTTCTAAGTTCAATCCTCAACACCAAAAACAAAACAAAAAACCCCACAAGGATAACAGCTTAACCTTCTCAATGGGTGAATAATGGAAGTTTGCTTCAGCAATTACTCAATTAAGGAGGAAAAAAAGATCTACAGAAGAAAACCACAAAAAACATGAAGCGAAAAGTTAAATGTTGACAACCCAGAGATGGTGGGGACAATGTGGGGACAAGACAACTCCCTGCATTCATCAAAACTCAAACAACTGTTCATCACAAAGAATGAAACCTGTATGCAAATTAAAAAACAAATCAACCATGATGTGGGAGGGGAGTGCCAGAGAGGAACACAGACTGACCAGTGCATCGAGCTGCATCGTACAGAAGTGAAGCAACCTCACTGAGGAAGCCCGAAGGCTAGACAAACACCGCCTCTGCTTGGCAAGGTCTCCCCCCAGGGCCCTGTCACTGATTTTGAAACTGCTTTGTAAGAACACCTGGACAGATGCAAAGGGTACCTGGCAGAGGAAGAGGGTACAGATAAGCGGAGGCAGAGGCCACACGGGGCCAGCCTGGAGATGTGGGGGAGGGGCACTCACCATGGAGCTGCTGGAGGCCCTGGTGACGCACAGACCTCCCTGAGCCCAGCACAGACGCCAGGAAACACGACACACCTGAGGCATCTTGTAGGGCCAAGGCAAGGAAAAGCCCCCAAACCAAAGGACAGGGAGTGTCCCAGAACCAACCTTATAATGCAAGCAACAGGGTGGACAATGTGACTGATCACAGCCCCAAATAAACTGCTTCGGACTGATATGCTGATGAGATAAATGAGGGGGGAAGAAGACACAAATGTTCCCTAGAGAGGAATCCACATAATCCCTCCCAGAACAGAAGCTGATTAACCCTGCCGGCCTCCACCCCCACTGTATGTGGGCCTGACTCGTCTGCCTCCAAAGGAGGGTGCCACAAATAAGCAGCCTCCCCTCCCACCCTCTCCGGGAAAGGATAAGCACCCTTAGTACCAAAAAGTCAAAGCCACGGCAAAATCCCATTTTGGGACCCAAGGAAGTACTTTATATTTAGTTTAAGATAATAATTTTATGGTATTACAAATTACCACAGAATCCTGGGTGAATCTTTTTAATCAACAGTTTTAATGTCATTATTTTAAAAAGACAGAACCATCAAAACTCCAATTTTACAAGGAATAAAGGCTAAAAAGTTCCCAACCTTACTTGGCAAGTGTTAATTATTTGTCAATTCTTAAAATGTGACAATGGGGACAGTCCTGCACAAGTAACACTCAGCATTGTTGCTGACTCCTGATCCCCAGGGAAGACACTAGGACAATGAGGTGTCCACTGCCAACTTCAGTAACACTTTCTGTACTTCCACTTCTTCATCTGCAAAAATAGCATTCCTCCCCCTCACAGGGTAGCTCCGCAGCGCATGTCAACAGCTCGGCATC